CTTTGGCTACCACAAGACCCTATTGACCCTTAAGCGGGACTATTACTGGCCAGGTGTGGAGGGTGGACGTGGCACTGATTTTGAAGGGTTTGCCACGACTGCGCCGCGGAGGAAGGCCCCAGTTGTCCAGGACCGGCCCCGCTGCAGTCCATCCGGGTTTCTCGCGTTAATGAACTCGTGGCGCTCGACATCTTGGGCCCATTCCCTGCATCCCAACGGGGCCATAAATACCTCTTGGTGGGCGTTGAGTACCTCACACGTTGGCCTGTGGCATGGCCTTTGGTCGATCAGTCGGCCTCTTCTATCACCGAGGCGTTCATCCAGGGGTACGTGTTGGACAAGGGTGCGCCGGAACAATTGTTGACGGATCAGGGGCGGAATTTCTCGTCTAAGCTGCTCAAGGAGGTGTGTGACCTCCTTGGCACCAAGAAAATCCGCACCTCGCCCTACCACCCCCAATCGGACGGGATGGTAGAGCGCTTGAACCGCACCCTCACTTCCATGCTGTGCCACCATGTGAACACATCTCAATCGGACTGGGACCTGTTCGTCCCGGGGGTCTTGGCAGCGTATCGGTTGGCTCCTCACGCCTCAACGGGATTTTCGCCTTTTTATTTAATGTACGGGAGGGAGCCAGAGCCCCCGGTGCACGTCCAACTGGACGTGGGGTCCTCCAGGAAGGGGTCGGCTGTGCCGGTCCCTTTGAAAGTCGCGCTTGACCGGCTGCGCGAGGCACAGCAGGCCGCTGCCGAGAATTCCACCGGCCGGCAGGCGGCTAATGAGCGGCTGCCCAAACACCAGGCAGCGGGCCTCCCGTGGGTAGCGGGCCAGAAAGCGTGGCTGCATTGTCCCCAGGACCCAGTTGGCACATCTGCCAAATTGCACCGCCCTTGGCAGGGTCCCGTTGAGGTCGTGGAAGTCCCCCGGCCGCAGTGCGTCCGGATTCGGTTCGGACGCCGGCGGTGGATAGTGCACCCGGCCCGGCTCAAACGCTATATTCCATCTACCCTGGGGGATCCACCCCCAACTCCGGGGAGGTCGGCGGGTGATGCGTCTGTCGTGCCTGTCCGGCCGGGTCCTGTTGACGGGGGCGGCGTTCGCCCTGTTTGTGTGCCCCCAGGGCCCTTCCAAGTAGCGCCGGCGAGGACCCCCCGGCCACCGGAGGCTACGGCAGTGGGCCTGTTGCCTGCGGACAGCCCACCTGCACCGGCGCCGGACGCCACACGGGGAAGCGGGCCGGCAGCGCATACCCGTTCAAGGGGGATGCGGCTCCGGTGATGGCCTGGGCGGCCGTTCGTCGGATCCAGCCCCGGCGCCCGCTCGGCACTGCCGGCCGGAAGAAGCCGTCTTACTTTTGGTTGTTGTTATTGTGATGCCTGGGATGCCGTGCTACCCTAAGGTTGGGGTTTTCTTGCAGCCGGGTCAGCTGTTTTTTTTTTTCACAGGGGGGTGGTAATGTAGAGGAGTAGAATGGGGAAGTGGCGTCACTTGTGCTGTCCAGGGCGATGATGTGACGTCATGCGCTCGGGGCAGCAGAGTGACATCACGGCTCCTCAAGGATAAAAAGGGGACCCCGTGACGTAAGCGGGGTCGTAGCTGGAGAGTAGGGTCTGAGAAGGGTGGAACGGGGAGCCAGGGGCAAGAGGGTAGGGATAGGAGAGAGCACAGTGCCAGGCTAGACGTGGCTGTGCTCCTCAGTCGGCCGTGTTGGTTGATCCCACGGCCGGGGCAGAGGAGACAGCACAGGGCAGCCGGCTGTGTCGGGACCTAGCCCGGGACCCCTAACCCCTGGGGAGTTGTTCACCCCTGTGTATTGTTAAAGATTTGTAATAAAACCGACTGATGCTCCTGTTGTTGTGGAGTGACTCATGCAGCCAGCTATGGCTCTAGGGTTTGGTGTTACATGTGTAGTGGAGTATGAAGGTGTGTTGTGGAAAATGCGCGATTGCATGATCACACGGACAGTTTGGGTTATCTGGGGTCAGCCTGTGGAGAAGGCGAAAACAGTGTGGGTCGTGTTAGGACAGCCAGGTGCAAAGGCTGGGATGATGAGGTAACGGTTGGGCCAATTAAGCCAGAGGATCAGCAATGGCGGTGATTGGCTGTGGCTGTTGTCAAGGGCAAGGAGGCGCCGAGATGTCTGGAGAAAGGCAGGTGTTTGAGGACGAGAAGCGTGCGGAGGCACGCGGGCCAATTAATTAGCGATAATGAGAATGGGGATAAATTGGGGGAGACACACAGAGAGTTGGGAGCTGGACGAGGAAGACGTGGAGTTGGAAACAGAGTTTGGAGACGGAGTTTGGAGACGGAGTTTGGACAAAGTGTGAAGCAAGACGAAGTATGATAATTGGTTTTTTACCCTTTTATCTGGCAACAAAACTGACACCTTTTTTACAAGGAGTCATGTTTACATTGACCACAATACCTGCGGTCGGAACGCAAATAAAAAACAACAAATTTTGATTTAAAGCTTTCGTGACTGCAGTAATTCATATTCTTAGCTCTTTCGGTAAAGTCACGTTGAAGGGAAACAATAAAATAATAAAATATATAAAACAATAAAAATTCTCATGACGTTTCGACCATAACACAAACGGTCGTCATCAGGTGTGTCGGTTTGCATAAATTTATTTATTTTTAAAGGTGTATTTATTTATTTATAATAAAAAAACGACAGCGCCACGCGCAGCGATTTGGCAGTTTATTTAGAAGGACTAGTCCATCTATGTTCTGAAAAGAGGCCCCTCCTCTTATGTATGCTGTCTGAAAGCCACTGTAAGCGTGAACAATCAATTAAGACCTGAAATGGTTTATCAAATCTTTCCAATGATTGCTAAGCCAGAATCCATCTTCTCGGTTGAAATTGTCTCTGTGCTTGTATATGTGGATAGCCTCATGAACGAATCTCTCATGGTAGCCAGATGGCTTACAAAGAACCTCTGTCTTGGAAAAATCAATGTCATGTGAGCCTACTGAATTATAACAATGATCTGCCACGGCCGAGGTGTTGGTCCTACCGTGTTTAAGGTCTGCAAACCGACACACCTGATGACGACCGTTTGTGTTATGGTCGAAACGTCGTGAGAATTGTTATTGTTTTATATATATTTTATTATTTTATTGTTTCCCTTCAACGTGACTTTACCGAAAGAGCTAAGAATAAAAAAACAACAACTCTGATAATGTATGCACTGTCCTTGAAATTGATTGGTCCACACCCGAGACAGCTTTCTTTAGAGCCTCGTCTCACATGGTGTTGGACCAGAAGACGCCAAAAGGCGCACAACTCAAAGACAATGCACCATCAGAGTATGAGAGCTCGGGATAAGCAATGGTGCAAGACGAAGTAGTTAGCAGTGGAGTGAGCGTAGCGATAGCGGAGCTGAAGACGCTGTGTGCGGAGTTGCTGAACGGGGAGTCGCTGAGTGCGAAGCAAGTGAAGTGATAGTGGGGAGACAAAGGTGGTGAGCGAGACGAGCGGAGCACGGTGAGCGAGCCATACAGAAATAACCACTTGATACTTCGGTCAAAACCATCACACTACCATATGTAGCAGGCGTTACTAAAAAAAAATCCAAAATTCTAAACAAACACAAGATCCAGGTCCGGTTCAATACAGTACACAAAATTCGTGATCTGATCCCATCCGTGAAGGATGTCATTCTTGACTTACAGTACCCCGGGGTTTACAAATTGAGTTGTACTTGCGGTGATTGCTATATCGGGGAGACAAAGCGACATGTCTCTGACCGAATTCGCGAGCACAAATCAGATTTGAAACACGGCAGAACGAATTCTTCTGCCGTAGCTGATCACTGTTACAACGCTGTGGGTGATCACGATATAATTTTCTCCGATACCAAGGTCCTTTGCAAACCCACGGGTTTTTATCAGAGATTTGTTCACGAGGCAATTCAGATCTACAAACACAGACACAATTTCAACCGAGAAGATGGTTTCAAATTAAGCAACCATTGGAAAGATGTTCTAAATTGAACCAAACATTAAACTAATTTTCAATGGTACAGTATATTTTTCAAGTAGTGGTACCCCAAACTTTCGCAGCTCTTAAAAATTCCCTTTTCACACCATCAATAGGTAAACTTTCCCTCCCCCCCTCGCCAACCGGCATGTTCACCCGCATGTACACCACCTCTACACCGTTCATCATGCTAAGTCGGCCAATCAAATGCTAATTTTTATGCTAATTCCTTTGTCAAGGCACCTTGTTTCCTCGCACACAGCTTAAAGGTCGCGGTCTGAGCGTGGCTGTGTTTCACTCCAGCGCTGTCCTCTAGACAGTCTGGTCCCTTCACCTGATGAAGGCCGCTTGTGTTGTGGACGAAACGTCGTGATTTTTGTTTTATTTTTTACCTACGTGACTTTACCGAATAGAACCAAAGAGTATAGATTATGATTTAATTTGAACATGGCCCAGGCACTGAAAGCTCTTGCATACAAGACCCAGCAGTTGCAGCAGAAGCACACAGCATAGCGTCAGCACAGCAGTAGCGTCAGCAGTCTCAGCATGACCACAGCCACATTTGTCCAATTTGGACCGTGACGCCGGCAAACAATGGCCAGCTCGTTAAGAAATTACGCCATTGTGGTGGGGGGACAAAGATACCCCGTGTAGCCTGTAACAGACTGTTGGGGCAACTGCTGTTAGCGAGCACCTATGAAGGCCGGCACTGTGGCACACGAGATGGGTCGCCAAAAACACGCCCGGCCGCCTTTGTCTCCCCAATTGAGGATGTTTACACACCTCACACCAAGTACTCATTTGAGGCTGAGTCGACCTTGGGAAGGGCCCCGGACCCGTTCAGATAATCGCCAGGGGTGTTGGTGGCCGTGAGCGGGAGGCCAGGTTGTTATTAACCGGGGCGGTCTCCCGGAATTGAACCGCGAAGCCTCTGCAACTCTCGAACGCTCCGACCGCTGGGCCCCGTCGCCCGCGACTCTCGAGGCAGGCGTCGTGACCACGACCCCGGGGCACCCACCACGTGGCTCCTCTGAGGTCCGCGGGGTCACTGCGGGGTCACCACGGCCGGGCCGCACCGCCTATAAGCGTCGCTTGGTCGGCTCGCACGTAATCGATTCCGTTAGGAGTCGATTCCGAAACCTGGAACCGACAGCGGCGGTTTTCGCAGCCATCCTCACACGCGCGTTGCGATTCAAGGAATCGTCACGCCAATGAAAACTTGAATTTATTTCGATAAACGATTCGTTAATTACTCGGACGTCTTAATTTGAATCGAGAGTCGATGCCAGGTTTCCCATCGAACCAATCCCGGAGGTTTTTTTTTAATTACGGGGATCGATTCCGATATTCACGCAATTGCATAGAAGGTATAGGTATCGAGTCCTTCGATTACCCTGAAACGATTCCAGCTCACGCGATACACGGGACCCGAATCTCTCCGCGTCCCTCCTGTCCGTGAATCCTCCTCGAACCTCCTCCTTGACCCCTCCCCTCCTAAACCCTCCTCCTTGACCCCTCCCCTCCTAAACCCTCCTCCTTGACCCCTTCCCCTCCTAAACCCTCACCCCTCAACCCTCCTCCTTGACCCCTCCCCTCCTAAACCCTCACCCCTCAACCCCCCTCCTCGACCCCTTCACCTCCTAAACCCTTCCCCCTCAACCCCCCTCCTCGACCCCTTCACCTCCTAAACCCTCACCCCTCAACCCTCCTCCTTGACCCCTTCCCCTCCTAAACCCTTCCCCCTCAACCCTCCTCCTTGACCCCTTCCCCTCCCTAAACCCTTCCACCTCAACCCTCCTCCTTGACCCCTTCCCTCCTAAACCCTCACCCCTCAACCCTCCTCGACACTCCGCCTCGACCTTCACTCCTCAACCTTCCACAACCCCCCTCGTCGACCCTCATTCCTCCTCGACCCCCCTTCCACCTCCGCACAGCCCCGTGTTGCCCCGCGGGGCATGGGTGACCCAGACTGCGGGCATCTATGGCCACCACAGTAGCAAGTTATTACTATTGAGTTACAGCAGTAGTCGTAGTGCGAGTGTTGTTGTTGGTGGTGGCTTCCTTGGGCGGAATCGTTCCGCAATCACGGGCCGATGGCGCTTCTGTTGTGACGGGCGAGTCCCCGGACCCTCAAGGACACAGATCGAGTCCCTCTCGGGAATGACTCAGGACGTATAAGTAAAACAAAACAGCCCACGTTTATTTAAGCCCGATATTATTTTAAACCTTGATTATCCGGATAAACCAAGCATTTGAAGGAACGCCAAAGCAGTTTTATCAGTTAGGTTTTTGTTTTATTAATACACAACATTTACTTGTAGACGTGACAATCCTATCAGGTGATGGAGGGTTTACTTTTGATATAAAGCTTTCGTGACTGCAGGGATTCATATTCTTGGTTCTTTCGGTAAAGTCACGTAGAAGGGAAACAATAAAATAATAAAAATATAAAACAATAAAATTCTCACGACGTTTCGACTGCAACACAAGCAATCATCATCAGGTGTAAAACCACAAAAGAAAATTTGAAAAAAGTGGCGGTTATTTTTTAACGTTAACCATCTGGCTACCATGAGAGATTCGTTCAATGAGGCTATCCGCATATACAAACACAGAGACAATTTCAACCGAGAAGATGGATTCTGGCTTAGCAATCATTGGAAGGATTTGATAAACCATTTCGGGTCTTAATTGATTGATCACGCTAAAGTGGCTTTTCAGACCGCATCCATTATTTTTGTCTCCCCCCTCCTATTTTCCGAACATAGATGACTCGTCTATCTGAACAAACTGTCAAATCTCTCTCCGTGGTGCTAACGTTAAAAATAACCGCCACTTTTTTCAAATTTTCTTGTTGTGGTTTTTACACCTGATGATGATTGCTTGTTGTTTGCAGTCGAAACGTCGTGAGAATTTTATTGTTTTATCTTTTTTTTTATTGTTTCCCTTCTACGTGACTTTACCGAAAGAACCAAGAATAGGAAGGTTTACTGGCAACACTTTTGGAATTTAACTTACACCACGTGTGGCCAAACCCGACATAAAACACGAATCATTGTGTTGGCTACGAAAACCAGTCTAAAGTAAATGCAAACCTGCACTGCATTATTAATATATTTGCTATCATTCGGCATGCATTTATTCATCGATTGAAAATCAATTAAACTAAACTAAATATTTTTTTATTTTGCCAGGTAAGGTATCACTGAGCTATATAGCTATTTTTCAGACGCAGCCTGACCACAAATATCTTAACGAAGTGGCTTATGTGTAAATGTATAGCAGTAGCCAAATAGTCTAAACGCACATTACTAAATGTGGAGGGAAAAAACGGAGGACCCAGAGAAAAATCTATGCGACCACGGGGAGAGAGACACGCAAACTCCAAATATACAGCAGGCGTCAGGGTCGGGATAGAACTCACTACCTCCTGCATACCAGGCGAGGGAGTTAACGTCTCGGCACCGTTGTGCCCTTCTATCATCAATAAAATCGCGTGTGTTTCAATTAAGTCCAACGTAGATGTGCATGCCCAGATTTTTCTCATATACGGGAATTTGGATTCGCAGCACTGGCCATTTAGCACGCATGGACACGTAATGCGAAATTGTTTTCACTGCAGCCTTCAAGATAATGAATGGACAAGGACTGCTATCGGGTAACCTGTACTGTTTACAGGGCGGGTGAAATTGTGTGGTGCAGTAGTGACATTCACACCTACAGCAAGAAGCGCCTGGGTTCGAGTCGCAACTCGGGAAACTTTCTGTCTCCCTCTATTCTGCCTGGGTGTCCTCCGGGTTCCTCTGATTTCCTCCCGTAACAAAAAAACCCTTACAACTGTAACCGATATTGGTCAAACTATCCTTATTGATCAAATGGGCTTACATGTACCGAGAAACAGCACATCTTAACTGCAAAACCTTTGCCAGGACCCTCCCGGGAAATAAATATCAGACTCAGTGAGGCTTCCCAGTGAGGCGTAATAATTATACAGCGCTGATATCGTGTGTGTTCTCTTGATATACAGAAAACGGTGCAAACCAGGTGAGATGGTCCGTTAAAACCAGGCACCTCTCCTTCAAAGGAGACCTGACTTTCAAAACCGGACACGAGAGCAGATGCAGAACAACAACAGCACAGCAGCGAGCAGGCGTGCAAGAACGTGAAACAAACATCGAGTAGAACAAAATGGGACGACAATCACAAGTTTCTCAACACAATGCTTGTGCACGTCGTCACATGCCGTGATGAGCGGGACACCCCGGCGTGATGCCTGCACTCCGTTACACCTGCCACACGTTGCCTGGATATATGTACTTACGTGGAATTTCTTTTTGCACCGTACGTAGCCAACTGTGATAAATATATAATCGGAAGTGCGGGGGTAGGACAACAACCAAAACACGAAAAGCAGTTCTAAAGAAATTAGTTTTCAATCTAGATGATTTAAAAGTGCACAGATCCACGAGTTTCCAAATATCGGAAGGAAGAGCATTCCCAGACGGCCGCAGAAGTGCATATAGACAGCACTGCAGTGACCAGGTCCTTGTTCACCAACTGCGATTTAATGTCTCAACCCGGCGATCCACAATGTCCCCTTTTACTGTTGTAGTGAGTCCAATTGAGTCGCAGACGTTATTCTTTAGAGGCAACACATTTATTGTAACACGTATGTACAAAGGGGTAACTGCCTCTTTACCAGATACAACCTAGGGTGGTGACCACCCAGCTAACTACACTATACGTAGGAGTTACAGCTACGAAGGGTCGGACCCTCACTCGGGTCCCGGCCACGTGTTGATGCCTTGTAGGACGTAGAGCTTCCAGCTTGTCGACGTGGAGCTTCCAGCTTGTACAACGAAGAGACCCAGTCCCTCTCAGGGACCCACCTTATATCCTCCCAGGTTGGGGCCTGCTCCGCCCTCGGCCCCGCCCAGCTTCTTGAGCCTTCTAGCTCCCTCTCAATCCCTCTCCAGAGCTCTCCCTGGACACCTGATCACTCCCTAGCCCCCCCACCTGGGGCCTCCTCTGTGGACACTCCAGATCACGTGTCTATGGGGTCAACCAGAGTACCATGGCCCGGGGCAACCTTGTCGCTGAGCTGACACTCTCCCGCTCCCCCTTGTGGGAGCCCGCACTATGCGCTAGGCGTGGTGCTCGCGCTATCCCAGGACTCACCAAGCCCCGCTAGGGCTGGTACTACACCCACCTACGGGGTGTACGCAATGACGGTGCATCGCACGCCGTGCTGTGCTAGAGCCGGCCTCACACAGCAACCCACCCGGTGCTCTGTGACGTAAGTACATCGCACGCCACGGCCCTCCCGGGCTTGCACCATACAGTGACATCCCTGATGTCACTACACTATTGTAAGGACAGTACGGGGCCTAGTCTAAGTAAATTAATAATTGAAGCGACAGGAACTGACAGGGTCACGTAACGACACTACAGGACCTAAGTGGTCGTAAATAATAATTGACGCAGCAGGAACAGACAGGGTCACTTAAGGATAATACGGGACCTAAGTGGTCGTCAATAATTATTGAGACAGGAACAGACAGGGCCAAATTAGGTGAGAGACAGTTCGGGGAAAAGGGGAGTGGCCGAGTCCGAGGAGGGGATAAGGGGCCATCCATTTAGTACATACGCAAAAATCTGTCAAAACTTGACCCCTCCCCCCTCTCCCTGTACGCACACGTACTTTTTACACCCCTCCCCCAACCTGCGAAATACGCTTGACCCTCCCCCCCCCTCCGACTCCCTATACAAGGGGACGATACTTAATCCACGCAGATTAAATATCGGCCTAGCTTTACACACAGCTTTGTACAAACAGTTATACTTGACCGTGTTATCCATCCTGACTGGTTATTCAAAAACACGTCTATTATGATCTTAAAACACAATTAAAACTCGGTCAACTAGTCTCTATGTAGTGGCATCGGGGATGTCACTACATAGAGACTCTGTATGGTGCCGGCCTAAGAGGGCCATGGCACACGATGCACCGTCATCGCATACACTCTGTGGGCAGGTGTAGTACCAGCCCTAGCGGAGCTTGGCGAGTGCTGGATAGCGCGGGCACCATGCATAGCGTGTGGTGGGGGCTTTCACAGGAGGGAGTAGGAGAGTGTCAGCCCAGGGGC